AATGATTCAGCAGACGGAAGATCTTTGTCTCTCTTCCTCTCTGTATATCTGACTTTTCAATAAAAAAAAGAATCATTTAATCCTAGAAAAGTTGGCTCCAATCCTTCATCCTTCATTGATAATGGCTTCTCTAATTCCAACCAAAACTGTTCTCACATGGTGATCCAAGTAGGGCTCAGCTTGCAGCTATGCCTTCTCTACTGTGTGTCTCACCGACGTATGGACAACATTGGAACCGGAAATTGAAATTAAATCAGAAACTTGGAAGAAACAGTCAAAGCTCACATGTGACAACCTAATGCTTAAGGAACACAGAGCTGCTAAAAATCAGGCAAGGCCAGTGTGAGCAGGACAGAGTCAGGCTGCTGTGAAGCCAAACACCAAGAATATGTCAGGGATCCAAACCAGACGCCAGTGAGTCTGTAGCTTCCAGTTCAGAAGTAGGACACCAGTGGGCGCAGAGTAAAATGTGCTTTGTACAAATTGGAGACATAGTCTTCATGCTTAGGAATGACTTACTACAGGAATCCACTGTTTCTTATCTGGTAACTCAGCCTAAAGATTTTTCTATCCATTGGTAAACAATTTCACGTATGTTTAATGGACATTTAAAATGTCATATAAAGTTTTCTGCTTTTGGAATAAGTTTCTTATCTCTGCTATATTTTTAGTGTGGTATAACATGCCCTATGACTTGGCAGGCTTCAATTTTGTCATGGCTCTTTTTAGGAACTTGGAAGGTGTCAGCCAGGCCCTATTGCTTTGGGCTTGTGTGAAGATGGAGTGTATGCAAGCACGTCACTTGGCTAACTTGCTCCGTGATCCCTACAGCTCAGCAGGGCTTTGCTGTTCTCTGCAAGTCATCCACGTGCCAGGCCCTCTTTTCACTTTCCTGATGGCTTCTTTGATGAGCAGACATTTCTAATTTTTGTGAAGTCCAATTTATTTTTTTCTTTGCTTGATTGTACTTTTGTGTGCTAAGAATTCATTGTCTAATGGACAATTTGTCCTATGTTTTCTTCTAAAAGTTTTATAGTTTTCACTTCTATTTAGATACTGTATCTCTTTAGGGCTAATCATGTGTGGAGTAGATAGGTATCCAAATTCCTTGTTCTGCATAGAGCTGCCTAGTTGTCAACTGCTAGTTATAGAGTTCTTGATCTTAAGCCTCTTTTGTGTGCATTGACCAATATCATATTTCACCTGGAGAAATAGATTCAAGTCATTTGCACATTTTTCAACAGAATTGTCTTTTAGATTTATTTTATATATGTGAATAGCTGGCAACATCTGGTTTTCCTGCCCCTGAGGTTGTCAGCTCATAACAGGACTGTGTGATTGCTGGTCCCTGCCCCAGTCCACACCTAATAAAGTATGGTTTCTTTCATTGTCTGTAGACCTCGGCAGGCTCTGGAATGAATTTTAAAGGCTGGTTATAAATGATAAAATATTTCCAACTTGACTGTACAGGTACAGTGTCTTGAATACTATGTATTAGGACTTAAAAATCTCTATTTCCGAGTGATAACATAGTGTGTCCTCAGAATGACCTCAGAAAGTGAGCGTGACTTCCTCATGTGGATGGAATAGTACTCTGTAAAACACCCAAATCTGTGAACTTATCCAGTTTCATCATATGAATTAATTATGATAGTGCTGAGGAATATGGCTATATTGTAATGTATTCTGCATTCCACTTTACAAAATGTATCCAGTTATGGGAGACAATTTTAAGAAACTATTTTCTCCAGTTTTCATTTATACTAGTCTTTTTTTTTTTTTTCTGGTCGTCTGCTAACACATGTCAGCAGAAAAGTGAGAACAGGTGCCATAAGTTTAAGAAAAATGTGTTCAAAATTTTTTTAAACATTTAAATTTAGCATATTCTAACACATTCTAATTTAAGCTACAAATACTTCAGTTGGGTAGGATGCAACTGCTTCAAAGAATGATGATTTTAGAACCACTGGAGCAGACTTTAAAATTTAATTTAAACACATAGTATTTTATTAGAAGCACAAGGGTCCTGTGTTAATACCATCGGTCATAGCAGCTATGGATTTCATTTACTCTTCAGCTTTTTCAGTTCCCCGACACTTACTGGCCGTCTGCTAGGTGATGGGGACCATGATGAAATGTATGATCCTTTTTCTAGAAGGAGCTCATCTGATGAAGGAACACTGTTAACATGGGACATATACATGGCTATTTAGCAGAAACAGGAAGAATTGCAATTAATGCTGTCATTTATCAAAGGATGAGGAGCACATGGCAAGAAGACGTGAGGGCAGGACAGATGCAGAGGAGCCTTCCTGAGGAACCACCATCTGAGCTGAACTGGAATGGCCTGCAGGCATGGGGTGGGGCAAAAACTTGGACATGTCCGTGTGGCAGTTGAGGGAGTGAAGGCAGGCTGGCACTCCTGGAATATAGAGTGATTGGAGGATTAGCAGAGCATGCCATTAGAAAGAGCAGAGCCACATCGGACAGGCTCCCTAACTAAACCAATGGGTCTGTGGGTATGAGGAAGCCTTGGAGGACCATGACCAGGGCTACATGTGATCTCATCAGCATAAAAGAAAGCCAAAGATTAGGCTGAAGGTGGGGAAGAAATCAGAGCCTATTCCAAGGTAATATAATTTCCATCTTTCCCATTTCATTTCAGTGACAAAATCGCAAGGGGTAGCCATTCTGTGTTTTCAGGTACAGAAAAGAGACTGCTGCTCTAGTCTGGTATTTTTAGCAGTGGCCAAACAAAAGCTTCAAAGACCAGTATCAATAAAACACACACTTTCTTTTTTATTAATGTGTTTATTGGCAAGAATAACATCTGAGTCAGTCTCCTAGATATTCTCCTTAAATGTCCCTTTGCCAAGAAAAAAAAAGAACTACCCACATTTGCATTTTAGAGACAGGACCAGAAAATGTCATGAGAAACAAACTGACATGAAGCAGGACTGTTAGGTAAAACTTCAGTCCCTGTGTCCCCATTCAGTCTGGCTACAGGGGTTACATGGGTTTATACTGCAGCCCTGCCACTTGCAGAGGGTTACTTAACCATTCTGCACCTCAGTTCTGGCATCCATAAAATAGGAATAAATAAATGGACACCTATAAGATGCTCTCACTATTGCCTGACATGTAGTAAGAGCTCAACAAATGAGTTCTGTTTTCATTAAGTTGTTGGGCAATAGGAATGAAGCAGCTGTCCGTGATACCTTGTATCTTACTGAGCCTGGTCTACCCATCTCATATCCACCAGGTCAGTGGAGCTCCACAGTGCATGGATGGCTGTTCTCATGACCGCTGTTGCTAGCAAACCATCCGAATTCTAGAGGCGTAAGAAGTCCATTTTTGCTGCTCACAGACTGTGTGAGTCATCAATTCTGAAGCAGTTCAGCAAAAGTGGGTTCTCTCTGCTGAGTGTCCAGGGCTGCAGCTGGAAAGGATATGAAAGGAGGCCGAGGGAAAGGGTGGGACTGGACTGGCCGAGACTGGCGAGTCCACTGCAAGGAAGTCTTTGCCTAAATTACTGGAACCTGTCTGGGATGCCTGTCACCAAGTGGCCTCCCTCTCACAGTGGCTTCAGGGCAGCAATTAGAGTGTTTTTGCAGCAAGTCTGTTTATCATCTAGTCTCAGAAGTCCCCTGGTGGACCTTCCCTGTGCTCTGTTGGTAAAAATAGTCACAAGGCCACCAGACTGAGGGGAAGGCAAGATCACACCTCTCCGTGGGAGGCATTGATTTGGAGAATGTTTTAAGTGATACTAGTTCCTAATTCTGGGTGAGAGGTTGTTACATAGTAGAGGTTAATTTGCCCAGAGGTTGATTTGCTCAACAATAGTAACTGTAATAGTTAGCTAGGGGGTTGTTGGGAGCAGGAAAGGACTTCTGACTTGATTCTTCTTAGTGTAAACCCTTGGTCTTCTTATCAGAGTATTCAGCCTCCTTCAGCTAGCATATGTTTCCTGAAATGTGAAAGTTGGAAGGAAAGAAATTTAACTGGCTTTGAGGATAGCAAGAAACTTCTCTGAAAGCCTGAGGGAGATAAAAGGGTAAGGTTTGCAGAGGCTGGGAAAAGGAGAAGGTGGAAAGGATGATCAAGAGGAACAGGGTACAGTTGTATAGGAGGAATGACTTTTTAAAAAGATTTATTTATTTCAAAGGTAGAATTACAAAGAGAGGAGAGAGATCTTCCATTTCTGCATCACTCCCCTAAAGGCGGCAACATCTGGAGCTGGGCCAGTCTGAAACCGGGAGCTAGGAGCTTCATTTGAGTCTCCCACGTGGGTGTAGGGGCCCAAATAATTGGGCCATCCTCTGCTGCTTTCCTAGGCCATTAGCAGGGAGCTAGATCAAAAAAATGGAGCAACCAGGACTCAAATTAGTGTCCATGTGGGATGCTGGCTTCACAAATTGTAGCTTTACCTATTACACCACAGCCAGATAAGGAGACCTTTAGCACGGTAGAGTGACTGTGGTTGGCAGCAAGTAATTGTTCGTCGCAAAATGTTAGTAGAGAAGCTTTTGAATCTTTCCAACATGGAGAAATGTATGCATGTATTGAAATAACACTATACCCAATACATATATACAACTATTATGTGTCAGTTGAAAATGGTTATGCACCACGTAATAATGACTTGGTCAAGTGCAAGATGTCTATATGAACACATTCCCATGAGATTATATTGCCCAGTGATGTTATGGCCATCTTGGTTTATGCAAGTACACTTCATGCTGTTAGCATAGTGATGCAATTGCCTAACAATGCATTTCCCAAATCAAGTCCCCAGCGTTAAGTGATGCACAACTGTATATTTTTAAAACTCATGAGGTTTGCATTTGTAAGAGCTGACACACATCGTATTTTAGGAAAGTTCTGAGATGAGTTCAGTCCTGAAATTGATCAAACAGCAATTTTGTATCCCTTTCTCACAAGGAAAGAAAAATCTCTGCAAATGTCCCAGATAATTCATGGTGATTCCATATGTTCTCTAGGAAAATCTCACTTGGCTATTGTCCAGCGGGTGAATAATGAGGGAGAAGGGGACCCCTTCTACGAGGTGATGGGCATTGTCACACTGGAGGACATCATTGAGGAGATCATCAAGTCAGAGATCCTGGACGAAACGGACCTCTACAGTAAGTGCATGGCCTTGGCTCTTCTCCAAGGTTATCCTGTTTGCCTCTGAGACTGCGGGGACAGCCCTTATTGCTATAGTGTGAACGGTGTCTCAGCAAGAGCTCTATGGATTCACCCGAGTCACTGGGACCATGCTAGCTAAATGCTTACCCAAAGGGCACCTTTGGGATTGGAGCCAAGACTTTGAAAAGGAACTACTGAAGAAAACAAGGGGTACCCAGAATGGAGCCCCAAGCTCTCTCTGCCTTTGCTTCAGTCCTGTGTTACTCCTTTATTGTTTCTTCTTTTACCCGGATTCAATCCTGGATTATAGCCCCTGGGGTTCCAATCAGAGTGTACTCATGATCATGAGGCTGCCCACCCATCCTAAGCCAAAACCTTCAATGTCCCTGCCCCGACACTCTGCTTCTCTCTTAAACCTTTCAGTCCAGATTTCTATTCCCCCAACTTCTCTCCCTGCAAGGCACCTGCCTGTCTCCAGTCCCTGGGCTGCTCTCCTGTCTTCTCCTGCTCCAGGAATGATATGAGTGTCTACTTGGGTTACTGAGCCTTATCGAAGCTTTGCTGGCAGCCATTCCAAAGGCGGTGCTGTCTTTGGGTCTCTGGGATGGGAATGTTATCCCCGGACCAGGAAACATTTCCTCCTCAGGATTTCATCTCTTCCTCCCCGGCTAGAAGCAGCCTTGCAGAAACTGACTGCTTGGATATCAAACTTGGATACTACCAGGCAGTAGGGCAGGGAGCCGTACACAGAGTAGCTTGCCTGGGATTAAGAAGAACGCAAAGTTAAATGGTGGTCCCCATATTCTCAGGAACTAGCACATCCCTCACCAGGAAGCAGGTGGCCAGGCAGGGAATGAGCTCAGAAGTGCCCTCTCCCTCACCACTCCATGCCCCCTTCTCCACCTTTGGTCCACCAGCTATGCTTTAGAATTCCCAAGAGTCTCAGTAGGCAAATACATGAAAATATTCACACTAAAGTGTTAGTGGCTAGTGGAAGTCTAAATGTCCTCCCAGGACATTTAAACCAGCTAATGCTCCAGACCAGCTGTGAAATCAAAGAGCAAGGATCCAAGAATACTGTGTCTCTCTTTGCATGACTGCTACTTCTTACAGAATCTGGGCTTCTGAGTCTGGGCCTGCGCACTGTTGCAAGCTGAGCAAGCTGAGGCTCCTTTCAGGGGCCAGATGACTACAGAGGCCTCCAGTTAAAGGCAGTCCCCAACGAACTGCATGGCTGGAAGAGCACCTTCTCCCTCTACACAGAAACCCAAAGGATCTGGCAAAAACACTCCCCAAGAAGAAAGGGTGCATACAGGGGAGCCAGATTCCTGGAGAAAGCCCTAACCCCCCTCCCTTCCTTTCCTCTGCCCAGTTCCCCTTAAAGCAGATGAGATAGGGCTACAGTTTCAATGTTTTATGCCAAATTCAAGGAAGGCAAAAGAGAAATGTCCATGGAAAACATTCCCCATACCACATTAAATTAGGAAAAACAGTTTCTTAATCAGTAACCACATGCCCAATACATACATTCCTGAGACTCCAGGCCAAGCCACAGGCCCCTGCTCACCTGCATAGAATGTAGCTCCATTACTTTTTCTTCTCTTTCCTTTTTTCTATGTTTCCCTCAATTCTTCCCCAGTGGAGGAGCAGAGGATAAAACAGAAAAGGTGATGTCTGCTCTCATTCCTTGCAAGCCTCGGGTTGCCACCAAGACCCTGGTTTAAGTGACCAGAGAAAGACCAGGGAAAAGGGAAGGAACAGAGGCAGGCACTCACTCCCTGAGACCCACCAACCCCCTGATGCTAAAAATGCAGGTACCTCCCGCCTGTGTGACTGCGTAAGGACTTTCACAGTAACTTCCAGTGGGACTCTCCTAAGAAATGTACAGGATGAGTAAGAAAGCTGTTGCTGATTCTTGCCAGCCTCCTTATGTAGCTTCAAGCAAATAAAAACCGATGCATAGAGATGTTGCAAAGCTAGAAGGTAGGAAAACCCTAGCACCTTGAACTTGAGAGTTCCATAGTCACCACCGAAGTGTGAAGAACATTGAGATGATAAGAGCCATCTTCCAGTTTAGACCAAGATAGCCACCTCCATCGCTCAGCAGCACCCTTCCACTCCCTGGGAAAGAGGTGTGGTCCCATGCTTGGTGCTGCAGAAATGTGTGTGTGGTCCCAAAGGATCTCCCTGTCCTGTGTGACTTTGGGTAAACCTCCAAAGACTAGCAGTGATTCTGACATAGCTGTCTTCTGTCCCCTATAATCCCCGTAAGCTGACAATCGGAAGAAGCAGCGGGTCCCCCACCGGGAGAGGAAGCGGCATGACTTCTCCTTATTCAAGCTTTCCGACTCAGAGATCAGGGTGAAGATCTCGCCCCAGCTTCTTTTGGCCACACACCGCTTCATGGCCACAGGTAAGACCCTGCCCGTTCTCCCTGGGTCTACACTCCAGACCAGCTGAGGCAGAATTGGGACCAGAGATGCAGGTGCTTTCTAATCTCATTGCAACAAGCAGCTGGTGCTGCCAGTCACTGTTGTGGGAAAGAAATGGCCTCAGAGAGGATGGCAGATGCCACATGCTGTCATGTGTATCCCAGACCTGAACGTCAAGGGGCTGAGGTGCAGACAAGTCAACTGCAGAAGCCATGGTTGTGCTCTCCCCTTCCTGTGCCCGCTCCCTGGCTGGAGTTTGAGGCCATCCCGTCCTGTTAGAGTCGGGGTGCCCCAGAGTATTCGGGTGAGAAAGTAGTTTTCCTACCTAGCTGCAAGACTCTGGGGTCCATTGTTGACCAGCATTCTGAAACTACGGAAATGGGCTGTGAATCTTGGGGTCTTCAAAAGAAAAAAAAGATCAGAGAATCCTCAGATAAGCTCTTTCTTGTGAAGAGGTAGTTTGTCTTTGAGTTGGGAGCCTGTCATCCATGCTGACACATGTGCTGTGCTACAGCGAGCATCTCTAGGTTTACTATGTAATTCCTCTGTTTCAGATATATTTCTTAGAACAGTGTTAGCACAGCTCCAGGTGCTAAGGAGAGGAAGATTTTAAGATGAATTTTCTTTAAAGAAGGCTTTTCAACATGTCTTCTAGTTCTGAACATAGATTGCTTGTAAGTTCTGCCTATTTGCCTAGGGCAAACAGCTGTACTTGCATCTTTTTAATATATATAGAGAGATAATATATAAATATGATGCAGTGATGATTCACATTACTGACAACTCGTCACTTAAAGAACAGCCTGCCTCCATCTACTTGGACTTTCATTCCATTCAACGTTAATTCTCAGAATTTCATTCGGTTATAGCATTTGTCATTCACATGGCTTAGTTACCCATGCCCAACTTTAAAATCAAAGAGAACACTAATAACAAACGAACATTTCCAAAACAGACATGTTTCTCTTGAGATGCACATCTAGGGATCCCCAGCCCTGAGGGATGCATACTTAGGTTAGGATTGCCCTCCCCAAGGAAACCTCAGAAGTCCTGCCAGCTGGGTGCCCCGAGCCCAATGGGAGTGATCCAGCCACAACCCCTGTTTTACTCTCTGACTCCTGCCAACTGTTGCTGCAGCAAGAGGTGAGACCCAGGAGGTGCTAATTTCTCCCTTCCACCATTCTCACTTAGAAGTAGAGCCCTTCAAGTCTCTGTACCTTTCGGAGAAGATCCTGCTCCGGCTCCTAAAGCATCCCAATGTGATCCAAGAACTGAAGTTTGATGAAAAGAACAAGAAGGCCCCAGAACACTACCTCTACCAGCGCAACCGCCCTGTGGACTACTTTGTGTTGCTTCTTCAGGTAGGTGGGAAAGTAAAGGCACTTCTGAGGACAAGACCATGTTCAAGGTGAAGAGGAATGGCCAGGCCTCCCTCAGTGCCAAGCTCAACACTTGGCTGTTTGCCCCTAGAACAAGGGCTGGTAGGCATTTCTGCATGACCCGCAGTAAGGGCCCAGACCTGGAAGACTGAAGTCAAGACGTGGTAGGATCTTCGACAGCATCTCTTCTGACTACTCAGCAGTGTCTGGTATCTCACACAGTGAATACTTTCACTGTAGAGAGTCTGCTTTTGAACTTCCATTCAGTAACACTTCTTTATCTTTGACTATCTCCCGCAAAAATGAAACAGCCTACTCCCTCCTGCACTTTAGACAATTCTTGAAACCCTTCCCTTTGCTGATGTCTCACCCGACCCTGTTCTCCAGGAGCCATAGTGCAACTTTCACAGAGCTTTGAATATTTTCTCCCTTAGGAATATCAGGAAGGGGAAATTGACCAAGTAGAAGAAGGGCAGTGTCTTCCCATGCTCACCTACAGACCATCACATTCTCCCTTGCATGCCTAGCTGGGTCCTAGAAAAGAGTCAGGCTTGGTTCTGGCTCATGGCCCTACTCTGCCCTAGCCTGCATCCTCTGCCAGCTCTGTCACTGATCCTCTGTCTCTTGCTGACAGAGTCTCATGGACCCAAAGTTGAGGAGTGGTTTAAAGCCTTGATGAAGCTCACATTATCTTAGAAACACTCTCCCTGTGCTGTCGTCCACCTGATGTTCAGACTCTGATTTGCCTCCCAAGCAGCCTTCAACAAGCCTCAAGGAAGAGACCTCATGCTCTTCACTGCTGGGAATCAAGAAGGGCCCCTTTACTTTATTTACATAATGTAAGGGACATATGTATTCTATTGTCTTCTGCTTAATATAAAAATGGATTTTTAAATAATATATGTAATAGCAAGAGGGTAGGCTCAGAAACCGTACAGATGTGGATTTAAAATGTTCATATTACCATTTCTCTACTACGGTTGACCAAGTTATTCTCTGAGCCTGAAACTTGATTTGTCTGCAAACAAGGGATCCCTGTTGTGGCTGTAGACTGACTGAAGGAAACTCCATGAGGTACATGTAACACAGCAACAGGCCCCTAGGCAAACGCTAAGCACTACACATTTGCTCTTATTATTGGTGATGATATATTTTATCTCAGTCAGACTCAATAAAACTCTAATCTGTAGGACCATGGGTTAGCTGGCACGTGGAACTGTGTCACAGAATTTCAAAGAAGCTGGGTTATTCGTGACTAGATGCTGCTTTGTGAGCAATGAAGCAATGAATTTACTGTAAAGAACTGCCAACGTTAGAGGTGCTGTTTGTGAAATGTAAATCCGGGCAGAATTAGCAATCTCCTGTGATAACAACAGCAGACGTGCTTGCGATTCTAGTCAATGAAAGAGCCGGATGCGCTCATGTGTACCCTTATCATGCTTCTTTCCTTCTCCAGGGTAAAGTAGAGGTGGAGGTTGGAAAGGAAGGCCTTCGCTTCGAGAATGGAGCCTTCACCTACTATGGGGTCCCAGCCATCATGACCACTGCCTGCTCAGGTATCCCAGTTTCCAAGCCGCGACTTACTGGAGAAGCAATGAAATGTAGAAAAAGCATTCAGGTGCAAGTCTACTTTGATTCCTGGAACAGACCATGGACAAGCTATTTAACTTGCTTTAGTTTTCTTCTCTGCAAAATGAGTGTAAAAGTCACTTTTCATTCAGAATTCATTTGTGCTAAAGAAAAAAGTGACGAAAGAGGTCTGGCATTGTGGTGCAGTAGATTAAGCCAGCATCCCATATGGTTCAAGACCTGGCTCTTGTGCTTTGGATTCAGCTCCCTGCTGACACACCTCTGAAGCAGCAGGTGCTGCCTCAAGCCTTGGGCCCTGACCACCCATGGTGTAGACCTGATGGAGTTCCTGGCTCCTGGCTTTGGCCTGTCTGTTGCAGCTATTTTGGTAGTGAATCAGCAAATAGAAGATCTGTGGGTATATGTCACTCTGCCTTTCAAATAAATAAATATATTTGTTTAAGGTGTTAAAAAATTAAGCAGGAAAAAGCTCTCACATTATCAAGTGTTCACGTTAGAGAGTGGTTTAGTTTCAGCAAGATAAGGTTTCCCTGGCTTTTTGCTCTAGTTTCCTACCCTTCCATTCGATTGCCTGGTCTTACAGGGTTGTCTGGAGCTGAGGGTAGAGTAGATGAAGGGAGATTCCCTTGAAAAGATGTGTCTTCTGAACTGCCTCTGAGAGTGCATCCTTCTCTCCTTAGATAATGATGTGCGGAAGGTTGGGAGCCTGGCTGGATCCTCGGTTTTTCGTATGTATCCCTCCAACCCCTTCCCCATCCTCCCTGTCACAGTCCTGCCTCATCCCACTCTGGGGACCTGGACCACAGGCACTGTGAGCCAGGGCTGAGGCAAGCACCGATGCTGGCAGTCTCTGTGATGCTCTGCCAGGAATGCTGCTGTCTGCCAGGTACCCACTAACTGTGGGTGCTCAGGTTCTGTGTGTGTCTGGAATGTTTCCTGCAGCTTCTCTGCTCACAGGCAAGTGACGAACAGTAGGGAAATGGAGGGCCAGGGGCTGTGAGTGGAAGCACCACTTCCTGCCATCTGCCAGGAAAGGCAGGCAGGTGATGTGTGTGTGCTTTGGTGGATGCAGGCTCAAGCTTTCCTTCTCCACAGTGATCATTCACCTCCCTGCCTTTAACTGAAAGCTCTCATGTGCTGTTTTTTCGTATTTGTTGGGCTAATCCTCAGTAAGAAGTGAGTGCAGGATTTGGGGCTGTAGGCTCCAGTCTAGTGTTTGTCCACCCTCCTCTCAGGTGGTGCAAAGGTGGCTGCCAGCTGGCTGTGCATGCTGCTGGTGGGGGCTGGCACAAGGCTGATGGCTGGTCTGCTCTTTTCTCTCTGTGCTGTGCCTTCTGGCTGCCCCCTGAGCGCTGTTACTGCACTTGTGTTTGCAGGGCATGGAATTGATGGTGATGTCAGTGTGAGCCAAAAAAAGTTGTTTCTCTAGATTTCCTTTTCATTTGTTGATCTCAATGTCGCGTTGCTCTCAGCAGTTAGTGTGCATGGTGGCCATGTTAATGCCAAATGAGGTATTTCTTCTCATTATGAAAAGGATTCTTTGTGTAGTGCTTTGTATTGGGATTTATCAGAGGGTCCCTGCATATAGTAACACAGTCCCTGGAGCATGACAAGGTAATACCATTTGAACATGAGACACTGAAGAAATGACCTGCTACAAACTACTCAACAAGTTGATAACTTACAGAGAAGCATTCCAGTGCCCTAACTAGTTCACACCGCACAGTAAAAATGCGGATTTTAGAGCAACCATATTCTGGAACACAATATGGAAATAATGGGGCAATTTATAGTGTGATTAATTTCACATTCTAGCCAGGCATGTGGCTAAAATGAAGTCTACATGCCAGTCCACTTGAGGAAGATGTGTACCTAGTGCATTATTAGACTGACGGAAGCCAACCATCTCCATCAGGGTTGATGAAGGGAGCATCCGTGCTTGGTGGCAGAATCTAAGATGAGTGAGGAACCAGACACAGCATTGGAGGAACACCTTTATCCCTAATAAGGATTTCCACCATCCATCACGTTAAGGACTCCTTAACATACTCCTAGGACTGTGATAGGTTGCAATCAAACGGCGTCTGTTCTGCCCATTCCAGAAGACCAAAAGAGGGGGGAATTCTGAGGAAAGTTCCAGAAGACCAAAAAGAGGTGGGAATTCTGAGGAAAGTTCCAGAAGACCAAAAGAGGTGGGAACTCTGAAGAAAGTTCCAGAAGATCAAAAGAGGTGGGAACTCTAAAGAAGGTTCCAGAAGATCAAAAGAGGTGGGAACTCTAAAGAAGGTTCCAGAAGATTAAAAGAGGTGGGAACTCTAAAGAAGGTTCCAGAAGATCAAAAGAGGTGGAAACTCTGAAGAAAGTTCCAGAAGGTCAAAAGAGGTGGGAACTCTGAGGAAGGAGGGCTACATAAGGCTCCCCTTCCCACCTGACTGGATAATCTTTCTTTAAAAATCTACTTAGATTTTCTAAGTAGAAGGAAGATAAAACATGCTATCCTCCTTTCCTGTTTCTAGTCCTTTCTGTCACAATCCTCCAGGTTATCAGTGAGAGGAGGAACCTACAAGACCTACAGAAACTGATCTCTCCTTTCAAACCAGTCAGCTGAAAGGAAGTATTTGATTCTTTTTCCCTCCCCACATTTCTGATCCATCTTCATAAATATTCATGAATACTTCATGTCATGAATACTTAAGCAGGCTAAACACAGCAGCTGGGAGTGCCTGGTGGGAAGGCAGTGCTGGGCTCCCTGTACACTTGTCAGCTCCAGAAGAGCATCCCAGAGAAAATGCTGCCCACACGCTCCCCACAGGGGCACTGTCTGGCCTTATGATTGGCATCTCTGATCTCTGAGTCACCCTCAGCATGGTCCATTGTATTTTCTTGTCTTTCTTGAAAGTGACTTTCTAAGAGAACCCCGTCCCCATGTTTCCCAAGGCATGATCCCTTTTTGTAGAGAAGTGATGTCATGAAGATGCAAAACCAGACTGTCTCACCCACTTTGCTCTTTGTCTCTTTCCTTTTGTGTTTATCTTCTCTTTTTGCAACTCACACATCCTTGGCCCCTGATTCTTTAGTGCCTGTGTCTGTGTCACGTACCTTCGCCTTCAGCAGAGGGGACTCTCTGGCAGGCTCACCAGGTAAACATGCATGGATGTCTCGATTCTCTGTAAGTCCAAGTGGTGTACAAGCAGCTTTGGGTCTTGGTCACTATCCTGTATGAGAATTAATCTCTGCCAACAAGCATGCCCACGTCAAAGACATAGTGTGTCACATAAATAATGCTGTCATGCACACACAACCCAGCATTGCTGCTTCTGTAGCATCGTTTGTGAAGTTGCCTTCGAGGGACAGATCTCAGTACACATGGAAAAATGATGAGGGTAGAGGCAGTGGGAGTTTCTCCTTGTGGTTTGTCTAGGGGATAAGCAGTGAACAAAAGAAAAATAGGAAGAAATTGGGTGACACTTTGCTTTATTGCTGCCATCCACCTTCCCGTCTAAGAGCTCTTCCTACAGCTAGCCACCAATCCATATTCACCCCCCTTTAAAATGTGATCATCATATTCCCTCTGCTCTATTCTTACAAAAGAAGCTGTTCTTAAAATTTCCAAACCAATTTTTCATTAGGCTTAACCTCTCTTGTTAATGAAATGAGTTACTGGATTTCTTTTTAATCAAATAAAGTAGCTCCTTGTGGAGCTCTACGATGATCCAATTGAATAAAATGTAATAAATCTGAACTATCAAATAACTGGTCATATTATTTTCATCTGTAGAGAATGATCTCTTATGCTTGTAGAGCAAGTAATGACCAAGACAGGAACCTATTTGCTAAATTGCCTGGCAGTTAGAATACAATCCAATGCTAAGTTGTGAGATCTCACTGTATCCTCTGTCATCAACAATTTAGTTATATTTTGTTGCCTGCATTAAACACCCTCAGCTTTTAAAGGGGCTGTGTTCTAAGACCTCCAGCCCTTAAATCTGCAACTTGACAGGTATCTATGTTGGTCTCTTTTCTCTCAAACCTTGTTTTCCCATCAAAAATCATCTGTTTCCCACATTTATCTTCATAGGACAAGTCACTATCTCCTCACCAATGGTCTTTGTCTCAATGGAGAGTGATTTTCCACTGAACGAGTTTTTCTTGCTTTGTGAGAGCTCCTGCCTTCATGAAAATTCCTGGAGAATAGAGTTGCCCTCCTCAACCAAATGGTCTACTCCCACATGCCAACAAAATTAGAAATGACTGCTTCATGGGCTTTCAAGATCCTTCACATGCAGAGAACCTTGGGGAAGGCCAAGCAAGTGCTATGAAAGTTCCACAAGAGAGGGAGGACACACATTTCTAAGAGATTTTTCAGCCAAAGGGATCAAAGCAAGACCCTATTTTCCTTTTGAATTAACCTTTTGTTAACTTGATGACCCAGTTCACTATAAATTTCCAGTTTAGGGAGGTACATTCTAACTCATCAGTGTTTATCGTGACAACGTCATGGTAACACATGTCAGGCAGAGTCAAGTGGCTGGTTTTTTGAAGTCCCTGATATTCCTGATCCAGCCTTGCTGGTGCCATGGGCCCCTTAGAGCTTGTTCCATCATCCACACGTGTTCCCTAATTGTGGGTCTTCAATCTGACAGAAAAAGAGCCAGGGCAATGCTGATTCCAACCCCAGGCTCAACTCTGTTGGGTGGAGCAAAATGACAGGTGCAATGGGAGGAAAGGAGAGAGAGAGAACATCTTTCCTTCTTCTTTAGCTCTCTGTTGGTTTTTGTTCACAGCCAACTTCACTACCTTCTCAATGTTCAGGTGACCTCCCAAGACCTATAGTATTGGATTCCCTCTGCCACACTGTTTTCTGACCATATCACCTGGAATTTTGTGGAAAAGGGTCCTGGACTCCTTCTTCCCCATATTTAATTTCTGGTTCTGATCCAGTAATTACTACACATCATAAGTATTAATGCCATCTTACCAAAGGAATCATAAATACTGCAAGTTACTAGGGTAGGCATTAGAATCTCTGGCCAGAGGCCTCCAAGCTTCTTTGAATGTAGGCACGTGGTACGGATTTGCATTTTAAAAGCAGCCTGCTAATGAATGTGGTGTTCAAAGGAGTCCTTGCACCAAATACTGCAACCTATTGTTTGACTACGAATCACCAGCCACAGGGAGTTTCTTTAGCCTTAGTTTCAGCTGAGTGGTTTGTGGATTTTCCCCACAATGTCGAGTAATTAGCCAACTGAAATTTCATTTAGAAGTGAAACATCTGAGCAGACCCACGACTCCTGTTCATTCTTCCCTGTCCTGATGATGAAGGTAACAAAGAATATCCATGACAGTCCTTCCAGATCCACAGAAGTACAGAGAAGGGAGAAATGTCAGAGCCAATGTCAGAAATTTCCAGTGCGCAACTGTCCATCCAGAATGTGCTCTGAAATCAATGATAATGAGAGTTTTCTCTCAGATTCTGCAAAAAATAAAATAATTGTTTTACTTTTCAAAACGTGGCAAGTGGAAATATTCCTCTGGGTTGGCTCTTGTAGTAAACATTTGGGAACCATTAAAGCTTCATGTAATGTGAGCGAGTTCATCTGGGATCCTAACTTGGGCTGACTTGAGGAGTTCACATTGTAGCTTTGACAGAGGGCTGGCTTTTGGCATTTGCTTTTCTGATGTTAAATGTTACACAGAGGATGAATTTTAATAATTCTAGCATGTACTTTTAGAAGCCTGGTCATTGAACTCCCCCATCCAAATTAGAGAACACAGATGGCCCAAAGCACAGTGACCATGACCAAAGGAGGTGATTCCCCATTGTCCTTCCCGATGCTACAAAAGCCATAGGCAGGCACCCACCCTGCCCCCCTTTTCTCTCAAATCCTCAAGCTGAAAGGGGGAGTAGGGTATTCTACTTCTGTGTCCTGGCTCCTACTTCCAGGATGGGGTTGTGAGGCTCCCTAGATGAAGGTGGCAGCAGAAAAGCCAGAGTCCCAGAGTCATCCAGCCTCAGTACCAGTTTGTGAAATCCTCTTCCACACGTTCTCCTGCTGCACATCCAGTTCCATCGCACTGTCTGCTCTACACAACCTCTGGGATGCCAAGTAACCAATCAGGACAGATATCTCTTGCAAATCAATGCCTCAGTTGCTGCAGGAATGAGGTCTGTGACACATTTGCAGCAGCTGGTTGGGGGCCTAAAGCAGGAAATCCAGCTCCCTGCCCCCAGTCATGCCAGAGCCAACTTGAGGGTGTCATGTAAGTGCAAAGCGTGCCAAGGGCATGGGGGACCTCTTGTGACAGGTCCCATGGTCAGTTTTACCCATCGCTGCTTGATCTGTGTCCTTTCCAACCTGCTTAAACTAAGGATGTTCTTCCTTGCTTCACTCCCCCAAGTTGTGCTGCTGTGCTTGCAGGAAATGCCAAGGGGAATTAAACAACTTGAACTAGTTTGCCATGCTGTGGGGACACTCGTCTGTTACTGATTTCTTCTCTTTTTTTTTTTTATTAAAGGCATTTTTTTCATTTCCATTTTCCTTGCTCAGAAATCTCTGAGTGTATGTGCACAATTACCAAAATGCCAAGTCATCAGCATCCTACCTATTGAGGAATGTCAGGCTGTGGGAAACAAAATCACTGATCTTGCACAACACTCAGATGAGCCGAGACCTTCTTTGTCATGAAATGAGGCTTCCTGTTTCTTAAAAAAAATGCTTTTATAGATCTGACCTTTGTAGGACAGTTGTGCCTTTTGGTATGGGCAATCATTGGAGATTTTGTGACTAAACAAACCTTTTAATAGAATTTTTGATTAAAAAGAAAGACATGTTTCTCCTCCCAGCACAATAGTGTGTTTGACCTATGAGCCCCTGTGAGTAGCAGCAAGGTACCCATGAGACGGTGAGTGGCGTTTTTGTGGGGGATAGGAGAAGGGGTTGGGCATATAGTTGCTGCCTCTGTTTTGCAGTGAGGAGAAATGATTCAGAAATTTCTTTGGGTGGAAGGAGGTTGACAGGTCACCCAGGCTCTGTTTGTCTGTTGTCCTCCATGAATGTATTTGAAGTTGCAATTTAAGGGTCGGGTTATGTGCAGCTCAGGTTAGGCCAGGCAAAACCAAGCACCATCAAGAAGGGTGGTGAGTCCTTAGGAAAACTATAAGCCACAGACCCTGCTCTGTACCCTGGGTTTGTCCAAAAGGAGTGGAAGTTTGACCAACCAGGATAAGGTAGGTTGTTCTGGATTCTACTCAGAAACCAAAGATGTCAACCTCCTGTAGGACTGTATCCCCCCTGCTCCCACCCATCTTATTCACAGCATTGAACTTTGAGAAAAGAATCTTGACTTGCCTTCCACATACCATCCTAGAATAGTCACAGATAGGTCTGGCCAAACCAGAACTCATTACTTTGCTTTCAGGGGACCAGAGTCAGACATGAAAAGCACCTTTTTCTGTCCAGTGTTTCAATCACCTTAGTGCTTCACTCTGTTCTCTGTGGTGCTATCATTGTCCCTCACATTCCAGAGTCCTCTGGGAGAGGGTCCTGTCCCTGTCCAGTGCATACATAGAACCCTACACACCTGACTCAAAAACCACCTGTTCCTCAGATTGTTATTACCTGGCCAGACAAGCAGAGAATCCTGGTGTGCCCAGTGGCCTTCTCAAATTACCAGACCAAGCTCTGAGGCTTCTTGGTGTCCTTTAAGTGTTGTTGCATGGGATTTAACTCTACCTACTGCATTCCTGAGGTATCCTGCCTCCACCCCTAACTCCTTGGGGAAAACAGCTTCTGTAGAGCTCCTCTAGGTTGAGGAGAAAAAGTGTTCTGGTTCTAGAACTTGAGAGCTTTGGAGCCATTTTTAACAATATCTAGATTCTAAATCAAATATCCATAAGAGACATTTGAAATTTTACATGTTTTTAAAGTTGATAGGACAGATGGACTGTTCTTCTCTCCGCTGGCTCACCCCTAAATGCCCACAACAGTGGGGACTGAGCTTTCCAAAGCTGAGAGCCAGGATTTCAATTTCGGACTCCATGTGGAAGGCAGGCTCTCAGTCACTTGTCCATCACCCCTGTGTTTGCAGGAAGCTTGGATTGGGAGCCAAGCTAGTATTTCAGTGTGGACACTCAGATATGGAAAAGGGGAGTCCCAGTGAGAGACATAACCTGTAAGCCAATACCTGCCCCCATCCCATGCAGTTTTAACTGAGCACCTGCCCTTGGTCGGGAAATGTACTGGGTATGAGGGATATAGGGATGATGATCAGAAAACACAAAATCATTGCCAAGTATGTGCAGCCACATAATTAGCGTTTGTGAGAAGTGCTTGGAAGAAATGCACAGGGGGCAGTGATGGAAGAAACCAGGGGCATCTGTGCAGGGTGGCCAGACAAGGTCCTGTGAAGGTGAGAGCTCAGATGACAGCTAGTGACCAAACAGTCAGCAGCCATTAGTGGGGTTGGGGTGTGGAGAAGAGATGGCATTTGCTGAGGAAGAGGAAACTTTGTGATCCCAGAGACCCAAGGAGGCCTATGGGCTATCATGAGCCAGGAGGGGCAAGAAGGACCCAAAATGAGACCACTCAGGAAAGCGGGGGCAAGGGCACAGAGGCCTTAGGTGCCATAGCAAGGAATTTGGGTTCCATTCAGTAGAAGTGGGTTTGTGGTTTTGCAATGTTATTCCAGCAGCTGAGATGAAAGCCGATTCTTAGTGGGGGACTCGAAGGAAGGGTGGTGGTCTCTGGGCCTTTGCTGGAGATAGAGACAGAACAAATGGACCTCTCGTGTTGAAGGCAGGGTTGGCCTGAAAGAGTGACAGGAGCCCAGATGACTGCTGAGCTGCTGGTTAAGTCACAGCATGGAAGTGAGAAGAGGGAGATTGGCAGTGGAGGCTTTAATTCTAGAGACATCTCAAGATAGTTATTATAGTAGCTCTAATGAGAAAATTACTCAACCTGGTGTTATTTTCGTCTTTCTGCTGCATGGTTTGCCAGGCAGTAACAGCTTGGCAGCAAAACAGTATTGATCCTGACCCTGCATGACTCAACTCCAGATAGATGGAGATCAAATCTTTGAGTTGGTGCCAGTGTTGTTTCAGGAGATTGATTAAATTCCCCAGGTTCCACCCTGAAAGAGTAAGAACCTGAATCTCTGGGATCTGTGAAGAAACAGATTCTTCTTTGAAACCTCTAACCCACCCCCACCTTTTTGGGAAAGGAATGCATTTGGGAAAGGAGTGGTGTTGACTGGAAACAGAGGGGTGGACCCAGAATGATAGCCTGGTGGCTAAATCATCACAGCTGCTGCACTTCCCATCCAGCTCCCTGCTTGTGGGACTGGGGAAGCAGTAGAGGATGGCCCAAAGTCTTGTAATCCTGCACCCACATGGAAGACCCAGAAGAAGCCCATGGCTCTGGCCATTGCAGACACTTGGGAAGCCAACCAGTAGATGGAAGATCTTTCTCTCTCTCTGTGTCCTTCTCTCTGTAGATCTGCCTTTCAATATATAAATAAATATTTTTTAAAAAAGGAAGCCGAGGGGTGGAAGGACTTTGCTGTGGTGTACAGACTTGTCCCGGGGATGAGGCAGGGCTAGGGTTCCCTTCAGTGCCCTTCATGTTGCTCTTGGGAGGACAGCTGTGCCGGCCATTCTATAGTCAAGTGATGTGGTTTCCATGAGCCTTTCTCTTGTAGTATGTTATTCCTGTCACCGTATTCCCAGGTGCTGTATCCTTGCAGGGAGTGTATTCAGTTATCCCTGAGCAATGTGTTCTAGACATTCTTTAGTATTCTAACCAAATGGGACCCGCTCTATGTGAATGTAGAAGCTTGTAGGACCAGACATGCACCTTCCCAGAGCCCATGTTGTTCCTTCTAGACCACATGCCAGAAACCTAGAATCCTGGAATTGCTCACCTAGCCCTGGTAGGGGACGATAAGAGGTTGAGCAGCTCTGGGCAGGGGCGGCCCTCCCACCCTGAGCCTGTTCCAGTTAAGAACACAAAGGATTTGAGCTGCTGTACACATTTGTCAAGTACAAGGATGGACCTCATCTCAACAACTGGTAAATGCAGTTGATAGCCTATAAATATTTATCCCTGTGCCCTGTGGGCCTGTTTGGGCTGTTGTCCTAGCTCCTGCCAATGTTGGGCAGACCTGCATTGTCCCTGTTGAAATGTGTCACCAATGTGAGGATTGGCTGTCCATACTGTGATAGTAGGCAGATAGACCAAATCGAAGATCTTGGCCTTTCTAAAATAAGGCTTGTGGTGGAGTCTGTAAACTATTTCACAGTCAAGGGTCTCGTCTGGGTAGGAAACCATGCTCACAACCCTTCTCCCCTCCAACCCCCCATACACAAACACGCATGCACACATGCTGTACAGGAAGCACGTTCCCTGCCCCATCCCCAAACACACACACACCTAAAGGAAGCAAACGCTCCAGCTGCTCCATGGGAGAGGTTGGGTAGCCTACGAACCCAGCAGAGCCAGGTGTCCTGTGTCTTAGGGATCTGCCCGCCCTCCCCATCCTGCCCCATCCCACCCCACCCATGAGTAGCAGCAGTTTGGCCCTGCCCTGGGCTCTGGTGGGGGGCTGAGGTGAGAGTGCGATGGGCTCTCCCTTCTTCCACCGCCCAGTACCGCCACCACTCAGGGGGCCTCAGTAAACAGCACCTGTCTCTCTCTCCCTCTTTCCATCTTCCCGTTCTTCCTCCCCCTCCCCCACTCCAATCCCCGTGCCCTTGTCTCTCCTCTCTCTCCCGCCCTCCTCCCTCTCCATTTGCAGTAAACCGGTCCCCTTCTCGCTGCAGCGGCTTGAATCGCTCTGAGTCTCCGAACCGCGAACGCAGCGACTTCGGGGGGAGCAGCACCCAGCTCTGCGGCAGCAACAACAACCTGTACACGCCCGACTACTCAGTCCACATCCTCAGCGACGTGCAGTTTGTAAAGGTACCTCCACTGCGATGGCTGTCACCTCTGGCTTAGCTCATGGGACCAGGAGACCCTCATTCCTTCCCCCTGTGCTGCAGCCTGTCATGCTTGCTGGTACTGGAAGGGCCTTGTTTCCAATAAATGTCGCTGTTGTTCATTGCCTGGGAAAGCAGGCACAAAGCAGGAGGTTGGCTTGCTCCTGATAAGTTGCCCTAGAGTGCATCCTCTGAATCTCACAAGGTCCGCACCAGGTTGATTTTGCTGATTTTGTTTTCAAGGTGAGTTTGCTGGTGCTTAGGGAACGGAATGTCCGAGAAGAGACCATGCCATACTTTGCATATCACAGTGTGTTTTTCACACCTTAATGCTTGAAGTCTGAAACATCATTGCCCTGTTCTCTAAAAATCCTTTGTTGCAACCTGTCAGGAGCTGTCTGAAGAGGACCCCTATGCCAGGGCCTTGGCCTGCTTGCTCGCTCACAGACTCCCTTGCTGCCTGGTTAGAGGCTGGCATGGCACAGGGACCTCTCGGTTCCCCCTTGCTGTTGATCAGTAGTGCGTTTTGCTTGCTTGGCTTTCTGGCATTCTGCAAACCATCGCAGACTTTGACTGTATGTGGTCCAGCCCAACAACACAGCCCATGAGTTCCCTGGGTACCTGTTGTTCCAGATGCAGTCTGGGCAATGAGAGGTGAGCAGAGATGCCAGAGGTGGCAGAGTATCTGTCATTCTGTCCAGAACACACACCCTTCAGAGAGCAGTGTGTGCTGGCAGGCTTTCTGTGTTCTAGAACTCAGTGGCTGCCCTGGGCTAACACTGACTCCAGCAGATTAAAGTAACCGTGCAAAGTTGCCAGGGGGAGGGACAGATCTGGAGAATGAGGTAGGTGATAAGTGTCATTTATAAGGGGCTCTGGCCAACGCCCTTGGCTGAATTACCTATTTATTGTCACTGTTCCTCTCCGAGGTAAGTATTCCTGTCATTCCCCATTGCAATAGACTTGAGTACCCAAAGGTTGAATTCTGAAATCCCTGGACTTTAGGAAATCCCAGGGGAAGAGCTGGGGAGCAGTGATCTTGGGCAGCCATCTGAGTCAGTGAGCAACAGCCATGGTGTCTAGCAGAGGACATTGGAACGTGCAAGGAAGTGAAACCTTGACAGTATTGGCCTACAGCTCCCCCACCCTCCCTTTTCAGTGATAACACAGAACTTCCTTCAATGTAGAAGTGGTGAAAAAGCAAAGAGAAACTCGGATGTGTGGATGCCTGATGGCTTGTAGGACTAGACATGTGGTTGCCTGAGTGTGCGGATCATGAGCCCTTCATGAGGGCCTGCTCTATGTTTGGCACTGTGAAGGCCAAGCTGCTGCCTTTGTGGACCTTACACATCTGGAGGACAAGATGGACAAATGAGGAACCACGTACAGGATCTAGATAATTCCAGGTAGTGTGTGCAGAAAACAGACAGAGCCCTGGGACAAGCAGAGATTAGGCCCAGAAGGCTACGATGCTAGGGTGGAAATGGTTCTCACAGCAAGTTGAGCAAAGGGGGAGCGTGTTCTAGACAGAATCAGCAGAGGCAGGAAGGGGCATGCTAGCCAGGGATGTGAGTGCTGGCCTCTGGTGGGCAGAGAGGTGGAAGCTGGTGTGGAATGTGGGTCAGAAGCAGTGTCACCTGTGACCTTGAGGTCAAAGTGAGAGATTTGGATGCTGTTCTGTGGAGGGGGTGCAGGATTTGGAAGCTTGCTTCTCCAATCTGTCTGCTTTAGGCTGCTGCAGTAAATTAGCACACGCCAGGTGACTTGGATGGTAAGCACGATTTCTCAGTTTTGGAGGCCAGGAAATCTAAGTTCAAGGTACTGGCAGACCTGGTCTGCGGGGGGCCCACCTCCTGGCCTGTGGATGGTCTTTCATGTTGTAGAGAGCAGAGACAGGGAGTAGGGTTTCTTCCTAAACTTCCTAAAGCTTAACATGGAGGCTGTGCCACATGACGACCCCTCTGACACGAGCCCCACCTCCTAAAACTACTATGATGGGGTTAGGCCTTAAGGATATGAATTTTAGGAAACAAAAAACATCAAGCAACAAAAAAAGGGAAGTCATCTTCAAGGTCCACATTAGCAGGAAGCTGCAGTCCAGAGGCAGCTGCTAGCATCTGTCCTTGGGTCACTCCCAGAAGACCTTTGCTCAGACCTCTCTGACCTACAGCACAGAATGTGTCCTTTCTACACATGTTGAAACTAAGAGGATGAGATATTAGAGGTTGGGAAGTGGAGCAGAAAATAGACACCGATTACTGTGTCACTCCAGATCAGTATAAGCTTGCAGCTTCCCTCTCTCTAAAATTTCCATAGGGACAGGCGTTTGGCATACTGTTTAAAACCTGACTCAGAACACTCACCTGTCATACTGGAGTGCCTCGTATGAGTCCTAGCTACTCCCCCATGACACAGCTGCCTGCTGATAGATGTCCTTAGAGGCAGTTAATAATGGCTCAGGTAGCTTAGTCCTTGCCACCCTCTTGTACGACTGGCTGGAGCTGCAGGCTGCTGGCTTCAAGCTGGCCCAGCACTGCCTGTGGGTGGCATTTGGGAAAGGAAATGGGTGGAAAATGTCAGTTTCTCTCTCTGACTCCCTGTCTTTCAAATAAAATGGAAGAAAAAATTTTTTTTCATAAAAAGGGAAATGACATCTAAATTCGACTTGTGATTCTGAAATAGATCCTTAGAAAACTGGTAGACATTTCTACAAGAAAGAACTTTGTGAGTTCACCCTCCTGTTTTGACAAAGTGTTTGTTTTGTTTTTTTTTCAGGTAAGCCAAGATTATAGCCTAGGCTACAGTTAAAAATTACCTCCTCCCATTGAATAGCTTTGTTAGAGGCATTGTTTAGACTGCTGTGGTTTCTATCGCCCTCACCTGTCTGCCCTGTTCCACAGCCCTCAACCTTTTTCAATATGAGGAGTTTTAAATGTACTTATTTGAAGGCCTAGCACAGGCTAAGCCTCTGCCTGCAGTGCTAGCATCCCATGTGGTTACCGGTTCTAGTCCTGGCTTCTCCATTTCCCATCCAGCTCCCCTGCTTGTGGCCTGGGAAAGCAGTGAAAGATGTCCCCAAAGTCTTGAGACCCAGCACCAAGGTGGGAGACCCAGAAGGTCCTGCTCCTGGCTTCAGATCAGTCTAACTCTAGCCATTGCATACCAGTAGATGGAAGATCTCAGTCTCTCCCTCTCTGTCTGTAACTCTTTCAAGCAAAATAAATAAATCTTTTTTAAAAAAAAAATTATTTCAGAGGCAGAAACAGTTAGAGCTCCCATTTACTCCGTCACTCCCTACATGTCCGATAGCTGGGAGTGGGTCAGAGCCAGGAACCAGGACCTCAGTCCACATGGGTGTTAGGAACCTCTGCCTCCTTATACCAACAATGTGGAAGCTGGAGTTGGAACCCAGAGCTGGGAATGGAAGCCAGCTACTTGAATGTGGACATCTTAACAGTTAAGCCACTGCGAGGAGTTGGTGAGAAATCAAAAGAAGACTGCAAAAAGGGTTTTCACAAGCTGCACAACCTGTGTATGGTTGAAGGAGGGTTCTGCATGAGCTTTCAGGCCCCATGGACTGAAATTCCAAAACAGTGTTAAGTCTAGGAGTCCTTAGAACTCAACATAAGCTACAAAATAGGATAAAAAGGTGCATCTAATGATGATTTGACGAAGCCATAATAACATCACTTAATAAGGTTTGATGGTACGAACCAATCTTTGTATTTGTATTGAACAATGTCCTGTGAGGTATCATTGTTAAGCTGCAAGTATTTGACCGATGTCTCAGTCTGGTGTACACAACCTTGACCAAGGTGCCCCGGCACCATCTGGTGGCAGAATCCCTGTATTGCAGGATGTTGTTTTGAGGGATGAAAAGTGCAAAGTGAAAACAAAGCATCGTAACATACCAGGAGACATCACATTGGCCTTAAGATTGACTCTAGACACCTTGGTTGCTAGGTCCAAAAGGGGGTAAATGTTTCTGTGAGCGTCAAGGTAAACGGACATCCATTTCCTCTGTCACGTCCAGGGTGCTTGAATTCTTAACTGCCCTTAGTAGGAGAGAATCTGAATTTAAGCTGTTGGGAAGAAATGATTGTATCTACAGCAATGAAGATAAAAATGCAAACAGGCTGTCTTATGAAAAATAGTTTTATTCCCTGTGTCAACTAACCAATAAGTATTTCTTGAGCATTAACCATAGTTCTGGGTGCCATGAGATGTACTAAAGAAGCATGAGTATAAAATGCACTTTGAGGGGTAGGCATTTGGCACCGTGGCTGAGAGACTGGGATGCCTGCATCCCAGGTCAGAGAGCCTTGTGGAGAGCGCTCACTTGGAAGACTTAGATGGGCTTCTGGGCTTCTGGCTTCAGCCTGAGCCATCCCAACTGTTGAAGTCATTTGAGAACCAACCAGTGGATACAATAGTCATTTCTCTATCCCCTCCTCCTCTCCCTCTCTCTTCCGAAGAAAATGAAAATAAATAAAAATCAGAAAAAAATTTTACCAACATCTTCTGTTACATAAACATGTGTAACCTGTCTTGTAAGTACAGTAAGACCAAGTTAGGGAGTGGAAATTCAGGTTAAATTACAATGACCAATGCAGGAGAGCATCTAATTGGTTATAAAATTATGAGGCATTTTGAAAGCAGCATGTTAGCTAGAGAACTGAACCTTTATCAGAAGAATTCAGGCAATGCCACATGAAGCAAACCCACAAACAAGAGAACGAAGGGCCATTAGACGGGACCATGTGGAGAGAGGAGCTGAGCCAGCTGCCGGCCGCTGGCCATGCGAGGCCAGATTATCAAGCAGGGCAGAGTGGTAGGGCAGGTCTATTGGCCCTTCCTGCCAGAGCAGTAGCTGACATTCACACACAGCTGTTGGCCACCTGAGTTGTGGCTTATCCAAACTGACATACTAAGTGGAAAATGCACATTGGATTTTGAAGACTTAATACAAGAAAGAATGTCAAAGTCCTTGTTAATTACCTTTTGATATGTTAAGCGACATGCCTTATTCAAATTAATTTCACCTTCTTTTCTTTGGTTAATGTAATTGTGAGGAAATTGTCAGTTACCTGCTGATGCACATTCTATTCCTAGCCACCAGCACTGTGCTAGATAAAGTCCTGTTCTGGGTTGTTGGATCCCTGCGGGCCAGGAATGATGCTTGAATTTAGAGAGGTAGCTGGGGAGAAGCGGGGCGGAGGCTGCCTCCTGTGTGCTACACCTCCCGGGGTGTTATCTTGTCAGCTGTTTCTTTAAAGGTGACATGTTGGCATGGCAACAACTTAGAGTTCAGGGGGAAAGATTTTAAATAAAGCAGTGTGAAAGCAAGGAGCTGGGACACATGGAGGAGGCAGCCAGCAGGGTGATGGCTTTCCCTTTATACCATCACCACTAGGACCCATCATCACCTGCCCTCCCGCTCCCCGCTGCCCATCCACCCAGCCACAGTCCACCAGGCTTCCTCCTCTTCTTCTTTAACAGTTTAGAGAAAGGAAGAGAGAGAGAACTGTAATATACACTGAGGAACAAAAAGTACCTCCTTTCCATCTTTGTAACTTTCCTGCCTGAAATTACGAGCTTCCCCTTCTGCTCTAGCTCAGGCCCAGTCTTCCAGATGCCTTCCTTCGCTGGTGAACTTTGACACGCCAGGAAAATGCGGTGGTCGGCCGGTGGGCAGGGGCAGCCGAGAGATAGCTGGGCTGTGCTCCTATGTGTGGCAATTGGCTAAGCCCAGGTCAGAAAGGCCTGTGCTTAGCTAGTCGGAGCCTCCAGCTTCTGACATGAGTCCTGGGCAGGAAAGATCTCCCTAAGGTCCCCCTGCGCACTGACTGCCTGGGGAGGAGATGGCTCGTCGGAAGGACCAACGTGTGCTCGATGCTTCTCACTGAGGTGTGCGCTAACCTCTCCAGGAGGTTTGATTATGGGGTGGTTTGAGTGTGTTCCCTAAAAGGTTTATGTGCTGGAACCTGGGTCTCCAGCATGAAGAGGTGGCAGATTTCTAGGAGTCGGGGTTTTGAGGGAAGATGATTAGCTCAAGAGGTACCACCCTGAAAAGGGATAAATGTGATGCTCACAGAACTGGGTTAGTTCTCAGGAGAGCAGGTGGTCGTAAAGTGAGGCCACCCATGCACTTGGCCCCTTCTGCTCCTGGCCGTTCCATGCCTGCTCCTCAGCCATGCTGTGATGAAACCCAGGCAAAGCTTTACCAGCTGCCAACACAATGCTGTTTGACCCCTCCAGCCACCAGACCACGCGCCGAGGAAACCTCTCTGTAAAGAACCCAGCCCTAGGTACTTCCTATAGCAACAGCGACACAGACTAAGATAGGCTTCTCGGACTGCGCCATCAGTTTGGGAGGTGCCAATTACATGGAGCCACAAGAGTTGGTGGCAAACGATCGAGGGCCCCTTGGCAGCCCTGCTACACAAGTCTGGTTCTCGGGCCTCACAGGCACATGAGTGGGGCTGCTTCTGAGCTGGGCACTCACGGGCAGGGTCTGGTTCTCGGGCCTCACAGGCACATGAGTGGGCTGCTTCTGAGCTGGGCATTCACGGGCAGGTTCTGGCCTGCTCCTCCTGACCCTCCACCTGCCTCTTTGCAGATCACCCGGCAGCAGTACCAGAACGCACTGACTGCCTGCCACATGGACAGCTCCCCCCAGTCCCCTGACATGGAAGCCCTCACGGATGGGGATTCCACCAAGGCCCCCACGACCCGGGGCACTCCGCAGACACCCAAGGACGACCCTGCTGCCGTCTCATTCCTGAACCACAGGAGCAGCCTACCATGTGAGTCTGTTGGGCAGATGGTTCTGCCTTCCTGCCCCAGCCCTACCTACCCAGAGCCCCCCTCGTGTGCCTCACAGAGCTGATATACCCCCGTCCCCTCTCCCAGGCAGCCGCTCAGATGGGCTCAGAAGCCCGGGCGAGGTGGTATACGTGAGGATGGAGGAGCTCGCCTTCACTCAAGGAGACCCAACCGACTTCGAGGAGCAGAGCACACAGCAGCTGTCACTGTCTCCGGCCGCTGGTCCCACACAAACAGGTCAGGGAGGCAGGCTGGGTACAGATGAGCATCATCCTGGGTGAGCAGATGCCACAGGGCAAGCTGGGTCGAGGAACCCTGGGATTCCAGTCCTGGAGTACAACTTCTCGTGCCCTGACATAGCCACAGAACAGACATGAGCAGCCACGAAGCACCTGCTATGCCTTGGGCCCCGTCTCATTCCTTCTCCTAAGCCCCTTGTTAGTAGGCGGTGTTAGGGGCCAGAACTCTGCCTGGGTTCAGACCGTGGCCCCTTCCTGCTGGAGCTGTGCAATCTTAGGCAAGCTACTTAAGACTGGATTTCCTTATCTCAACAGATGGTTTTCTACATGAATAGGTATAAATGATGGTAGCTTTCTTGGAAAGGAGCTTTGAATATAAGTGGGATAACGTGTGAAGGGTGATGCACGTCCCAGTGTTTATCTGTGTTAGCTAGTTACTATTTCATCTGCTTCGCAAACTAGGACACCAAAGTCAGCCATCATTCTTATCCTTCCTTACCTGAGGTCTCAGGTCACACAGCCTCCCTCTGAGACACTGGACATTTTGGCCTTGGCAGTGAAGGCGCTCCAGCAATCCTGACATGTTTCTGTGCTTGGCTCACACAGGTCATTCTCAAGCTTTGAGTAGCCCCCTTTAGGACGAGCAGAAGGAATAGTACTGCCTTCAGGCCAGCAGTCCCCCCCACCACCACCAAGAGCCTTCAGACTGACCCTAACCCAATGTATCAGAGCCCTCGGAGGCAGAGCAAGGCCCTGAAACAAACTCAGAAGGTCAGGAAGCAACCTGTCACAATGTGTGGCTAACCCAGTCTTGGATCTGAATATCTGAATTTAGAACTGGAGTTGCTTTTATCCCCTACACATGGAATCCATCACTGTAGCGCAAAGCAGGAGAATGGCTCAAAGCAATCCAAAAGGAGGCAGGGCGTTGTCTTTGGAGCTCACCTAGTCCTCACTCCTCATGGGACACGGATCTCTGGAGCCCCAGAGAAGGGAAATGACTTAATCAAGTCCCAAAATTGTGTTTAAAGCCTGCTCAGTCTCGTGGTGCTTGGTGCAATGCAGTTTCCAACCTGCCTGCCTGCCTGCTTGGGTTGTTCTGCACTTGCCACAAGCCTTGAGCAATTCCTGGCTACGACGTTCTGTAGCTCTCAGCATCCTCTTGAGGGTCAAAATGGAGACAGGTGCTTGATGGTTGTTGCCCAGGGTTTGAGTGAGTAAAGGAGGAGACACCCCCACTTGTCCCTGCATGAGCTTTTGGTCTGGCCAGGATTCAGAGTAGAGAATATACCTCCTTTGCCAAGTGGTGTTTGGGGAGAAGGTGTCATTCCTCCCTTGCCGGGCCTTCTGGGTTCCTGCTCTTGCACACTGCGTTTTTGCTCCTTTTATGGCACTGAAATGCCTCTTGCTGACTCATCAGAGCCAACACCCTCCAGGTCATCCCTCCCTTGCCACACCTGCTGCAGGTTGGTCACCCAAAACTATCTTGCCTAAATCCCTGGGTGTGTAGGTTGAAAAACCTTGAGTTTTCTCTCACCTTTCCTGTCTCAGCGTCAGATAAGGAATGTTTCAACATCAACGTGGATTCAGAGACCAGCCCTTGCCGTAGCGACTTTGAGGAAACTATGGGCAAGAAGCTGCTGAGAACCCTGAGTGAGTAAACTTGTCCCCGATTGAGGCCGCCCCACTGCTGGCTGGTAGGAAAAGCACCAGCTGCTTGGGGAACCTTAGTGAGGTTCACTTGTCGTTGGGCCAGTACTGCACCCTTGATAGTGGGGGGATCTGCTGCACCTGGTGGTGGTCTTGAGGATAGGGAAGTCTATGGCCTGTGGCTGTAGGTCAAATTGTAACGTCCCTCCTCCACTTGCTCTTATCAATACTCTGGACCAGAAAAACCCATGTGCTACCTGTGGCCACAGTGGCAGAGTTAAGTACTTGTTTGTGACTCCATTTGGCCCACAGAACCTGTAACATTTACTATGTGGTCCTTAAAAGAAGAAACTTGTGTCCAGCTGACTTAGAGCATGGGAAAGTGGTCCAGGTGGGGCTGGGGGTGGATGGAATCTTGCGCCTTCCAACCATCAGCAAAGCCAGAGCTGGGGGCTCCCACCCCACCGCCCCCGTGCGGAACGGCACTTCCTTCAGAGCTAGAGAACCAAGTCCCTGTGGTGGGGCTTGCAGCTGCAACCACAAACCTTGGCTCCTGGGACATTAAAGACGGTGAGAGCCACTGCCTCCCTCAGTGGGTGTCTCAGGGTGAGTGGGGAGTGGGGCTGGCGCCCGCGGGGCAGGAAAGACGTGATCCTGAGTGGTTACAGGCTTCACTCAATCCCTCCAGGAAATCGACGTGCCAGGCCTCACCCTGGATTTGTGGCTTTTCAAAGATGTCATCTTAGGAGGGAGGTGCTTCCTAAACCCTCCAGATGTAGCTGTGCTCAGCAACAGGAGACGGGCAGATTAGACCAGCTAGGGCGAAGTGCGCCCTCTCATGGCCTGATTCTTTTCAGGTGGCCGGAAAAGGAAGCGGTCGCCAGATGGAGAGCGAGCCTGTGAGGACAGCTCCAACCTCACGCCTCTGATCACCTGAGCAGAGAGGGCAGCAGTGGCTGGGCGTGGAGGATTCCAGAGCTTTGGGGAGATCCCGTCCCCACCCCCTGCTCCCCACTCCCGGGGCCTCCCCCAGGTGACAAGGCCTTCTGCCTTCCTAGCCACTGTTCTGCCCCCAGCTGTCCATTTGGCAGATCTCCCCTCTCTGCCTCCAACTTGACTGCGAGCCTTGCCGCGGCTGTCATGGAGGGAGGTGCCTTCGATGAAACCAGCTGGACATGGTCTGTCCACAGCACAGTCTGTTACTGGAGGAGAGATGAGCCCAAGCCAACAGCACCGTCCTGGGACCCCTGATGTTCCCCTTTCTTTGGGCTCCCCTGTGTCCCGGAAGTCACCTTTCTTTCCTCCAAATTGACACCTTTCTGCCACGTTTCACGCTTATCTTACTGTAAGGTGCCACTGGCAGCCAGGCACACAGAAGGCTGGAGGAGCCAGGGGTGAAGGTCAGTTCAGGGGACGCACCAAGAGCCCCAGGGATTTGTGTGCGGCGGTGGAACTTGACTATACCGCGTGCAACTAAGTCCGAGCACAGAACAGTCGGGGACCAGTCTCCTGTTAGACCAAGGCTCCCGCAGCCTGGAGAGAGCCAGGGGAAGGAGTCACAGCTGAGTGGACAGAACGGGAGGTAGAGCCTCAAGCCTCCGTTTTTCCCAGGGACACTTGTTCTGGCTCCCAGTCCATAGTCCTGCATTGATGGGTATATCTGCTCTGGAAGAGGAAGAGCAGAAAGTGGGAGCCAGAGATGAAACTTCAGGTTTTAAGAAAATAATCATGAAAGAGAAAAATTCATATGACTGGCAAAAGATTCCAAGCTGTTAAAGCAAGTGTAGCCATGACAAACCAAAGAGTGCCCATGTCAGTCAAGAGGGATGTGTGCTCTCACGAGACTTCAGTGTGCATCACACGGGAATGTTGAAGAGTCGTTCTTCTTTGTCGTCTGATCCCCCTGACCCACAGCCCTTTCGACACTACAGCAGGTCAGCTAAGTGTATTTATTACAAGAACTCAGTCATAAATTCCTGGTTTTTCTCCTGTACATTGGGGCAGATGTAATTCCAGAAAGAGTCACTAGATGGCAGGATTGCACGTACCTGAGAGTGAAAGCGCTCATATCAGGAACCACAGGGGACTTTATGGGAAAATTTCAGGGCGAAGTTTGCCTTTGGGACACCTGTCTCCATTTCTGGCCTGTCAGTCACCTTTTGGAAGCCCTCACCCAGGTACTCAGTGCTCCAGTGCTACCTGCTGAATCCCAGGCCCTTCCCAAATTTCCCTCAAGTGGGCTGTCCTGGCATCCCTTCCCTTTCTATGAAAATGGTTACTCCCACCCCTACAGCCATTCAGTCAATAATCACGTGGGAGGAGTAGTAATTCCTCTGGGATATTTGCATGGCAAAAGAAAATGCTTACCCATGGGAACCTTTAACTCAGGGGTTCTACACTTGGGGTCCATTACCCTAGGGGTCCAGAGTTGGACTTTCAAGGGTTTGTGAAATCACCCGAACTGTCAGAATTTAGTGTCAGGTGTCCTTGTGTGTGTTTTCCAGAGGGTTAAGGATTTCCTAAGTTTCAGTGGTTTCATTACCATGAAGGCCCACTGGGCCCAGAGTTTTTGCAATGCAGAGTGAAGTTTGAGTCAGATGGTTAATCACACGTGGTCTTCTCCAATGTCCATCCCTCGGAGGGGAAGGCTGGCACCCACCAAGAAGTGGGAGTTCCCAGAAGTTCCAAGCACAACCTGTTGTACAAACTACACCCCGCAAAGCTTTGGCCCGTCATCCCCACCCACCCAGAGCCGCTGTTGTAGACAGGAGGGTCACAGAAGGGAAGACTTGGCAGCTAGAAATGCTTCCCCCCAGCAGCGTCTTACTGACGGGGGAATTGGCCCCTCACCCAGCCCGAGGCTCAACCATGCATGACTGCTCATTGACAACCGCACAGCTACCCCCTCCCAACACCCGCTCTGGCCTGGCAGGAAGACACCAAGCCGCCTCCTCGGGGCTGGGTGCCCTCTGCCCCAGACCCCCAGCAGGAAGCTTAAGCAGGAGCTGCCGTCCTGTGGCCTCTGGCTGTCTAGCTGGCCACTGGCCCAAGGGGGACTGCTTGGCTCAGCTGCCCTTCACCACCTGAGCCATCAGCTCAGGCCACTGCCATCCTGTGACGTCCCTCCGCTGCGCAGTCCCCAAAGAGCCTGTCACCACTACCCTCCCTGTCCCCCTGCACCCCCCTGCCAAGATTTTCTTCAGGTTTAAAAAATACGTATATAAGTTTAAAACAAAAGGATTTTAAGATAAAGCAAGTTTATGAAGGTTCAATAAGTTGTAAATACTTTTTAAATAAAACAAAAAATCCTTGCCTGGGATGTGGCTGTTTTCCTTGGCCCTGGAGTCCTGGAGTTCTCAGGTGCTTTCACTAGAGGTGCGGGGGGGGGGGGGGGCGGTGCACACGGGTAATTATCTCACAGTGGCACACCTGCCGGAAGAGGCCAGGTGTGAGGCTGTGGTGAGATGCCAGGAAAGCCTCAGCAGCCCCACTTGGCAAATGCCAGGACAGGAAGCCAAGGGTGTGGATGAAGAAAAGGAAGGAGCACTGAGAAGACGAGAACCCACGTGATGGGCGAGACTTAGAGCTGGGCGCCTTTTGCACTCAAGGCAACCAGACCCCACCGAGCCCCCAAAACAATGTGCTGGCCACACTGGCTTCTTCAGGAAAGAAGTTTTAGCAATTTCCAACTAAAGGCTGAGGGAAAGGGACTGGGTGCCAGGCTCCAGATCAGTTCCAAACCAGCGGCAGGGGAGGGAACGGGTGACAGTTTTAGCTGTTTGGGCATCCCACGGTAGAGGAAGGCTGGTTGCGACCACACCCCTACCACTACCTTCCCTGACAAGCCAGCACGACAAGCACATCTAACCAGGAGCCTGCACAGTGAGTACTCCTCACAACCAGTAATGGCAAACTAGAGGCACAAGTGTTTTGCTGTGCACACTGAGTGGTGGGCGCTGTGCTCAGTATCCATTAGCTTGTTCAAGGCAGCCTATGGAGGCATCTGTGTCCATCGGATGGACTCGAGAGAGGTTGGATGACTGGCCAGGCGTACACAGCACCCTCCTCCTGAGCAGTCAGAAATCTGTGGCTCAATGCTGCCTCTGAAATCCCCAGGACATGACAGCCAGTGAGGCACTGCAGCTCCCCCACACCTGCACAGAACCCTGGAAGCGGGAGGACAGCTGGCCAAGATTCCAGGATGGACATTTAGCACAGCAATTTTCACCTGGAATAGCCGCATTCCATACTGGAACCCCTGGGGCCAGATGGCTCTGCTTCCAGTCACCTTCTGATAAGGTGTATCCGGGGAGGCAGCAGATGATGGCTCAAGCCCTTCACTTCCGTCTCACCCAGCCCCAGCTGCTGTGGGTACCAGGGAAGTGAAACAGTGGATAAGTCTCCTCACATATTTGTGTCTCTGACTTTTTTTATAAAAGCTTAACTCCTATTGATAATAGGTCTTTAAAAAAAATTCTAGGCCCAGGGCCCAGGGGCTAAAGTCCTCACCTTGAATGCAACAGGATCCCATGTGGGCACCAGTTCTAATCCTGGTGGTCCCACTTCCCGTCCAGCTCCCTGCTTGTGGCCTGGGAAAGCAGTCAAGGATGACCCAACTCCTTGGGACCCTGCACCCATGTGGGAGACCCGGAAGAAGTTCCTGGCTCCTGGCTTCGGATCAGCTCAGTTCTGGCCGTTGCGATCCCTTGGGGAGTGAATCATTGGACGGAAGATCTTCTGTCTCTCCTCTCTATATCTGACTTTATAATAATTTTTTTTTTGAAAATGCTAAATTTCTAGCATGCTAGCACTCTGGTACCGTTTCTGAACTATTCCCAAGAGTCTGTGCACTCCAAAAGAGAAGAAAAACAAAAGCTGGAATTCTTCCCAACAAGAAATGTCAAATACCAAAGAAGAAAGCTTCACTGTGCTTTGGAAGGCCACAGCCATCTTCCCGTGGTTGTTTTGCTTTGTCTGCCCCCAAGAGGCATTTGCCTGGTAGAGGCAGGGTCACGGCCAGTGACAATGGTTTTTACAGAGTTCCAGAAAGGTACAGATCCTGTATACACAAAAATGAACTTCAAATACTTCAAAACTTCTAGTAGTAATCCTCGTTTGAAGACTCGCTCCCCACCACCCGGACCCCCAGCAAGTTCTCTAAACGCACCATGTGAGAGTTGAAGGATTTGGAAACTGTGAGCTGTGTTTAACTGCTCTAATTGTCCCAGTGGCCTAGGCCGTCCTCCGGCTGTAAGGGCTGGTGTTCTAGCATCACCCCGAGTGACCAGCCCTCCTGCAAGTCCACAAAGTACAGTTTCTTCAGTGGTATCACAAGAGAGCTGGTCTCCGCCCGACCTGCACACAAGGATATAAGATTTGTTGTGGTGCATTTGCTAGAGGGAGTCAGTTTTATTTTGAGAACACATCCACTAGTAAATCCCTCCAAGGCCTTCATTTTAAACTACGGGTTATACATCACATAAAGGAAAAAAGAAAAAACGCAAAGGTGGGCATGGTTCAGTAGCCTAGTGACTAAAGTACTTGCCTTGCATACCCAGGATCCCACTGGGTGCCAGTTCATATCCGGCTGCACCACTTCCCTCCCAATTGCGTGCTTGTGGCCTGGGAAAGCAATAGAGAATGGCCCAACACCCTGCACCCGCGTGGGAAACCCAGAAAACGCACCTGGCTCCCGACTGGCTCAGCTCTGGCCATTATGGCTACATGGGGAATGAATCAGCAGATGGAAGATCTTTCTCTTTCTTTCCTTCACTCTGTAAATCTGACTTTCCAATAAAAATAAATCTTGGGAAAGGGGAAAAAAAAAAAGCAATGACATGGATCTTGATCATGATTTTATTTTTTATGAAGTAATCTTTTTAGTGAAATAGATTACAACAGAATGGACTAGAAAACATCAGAATGCACTACACATAGCAAGGGTCAGTATTGTTTCAGGAAACCTTTGTTCGATGTCAGATGTGTGTCACGATGCAAACCTTATCTCTGAGCACACTCACCCTGAGACTAACAGCTGGGATCAGGGACACGACCATGCAGAAGGAGCAGGGAGACGGCACGCAGCGGGTGGAGATGACGAATGTCAATGTCACAGCCAACACCCTTGAGCACACT